CCGGAGGGGGTGACGGGGATAGGGAGGGGGTGTAGGGGCCGGAGGGGCCATAAGAGGATTTCTGTCCAATGTTTGGGAATATTGTCGGATTGCTTTCTTAAACTGGATGAATGTGAGAAGCTGGGATACACGTGGAAGGCCATTCAGCCGTCCACCTCCTACTGGCTTGTCTCCAATGTATCTGTGAGGCCACTCCACCCTGGAAAACCTCCTCCTCTCCTCTCTCACCCCTGGGATTTCAGATACATGTCCGTGTCCCTCCTGTGGCAATCAGGTGCAGTGCTGGCCCCCAGTGGGGGAGCAAGGAATTGCTGTTAGAGAGAGAGAGAGAGAGAGAGCAGACCAGAAGACAACGGGCTGAATGGTCTCGTTCTGTGCTGTAACCATGCTGCTTGTTGTGATTCTGCGATTGGGCAGCATGTACAGACCAATCCTGAGTGCTCTAACAGCCAGTTTAAGAGAGTAGAGTCAGGGCTGTAGGATCCCGTATGGACACTGCGTAAAGGTGATCCACACTCTCACTGTGGATCTAGCCTGTCTTCTGCTTTAATTCTGGTGACACCTCAGCTGGTCAGAGTTGACTTGCTGATCAATCCCAACCCGATTCTCCCACAATGTGTCAGTGATTTAGTAATTGGCCCCAAGACAAAGCAGCCCCCGCTCAATTGGCACCGCATCCACAAACATCCCACTCCCTCCCCCCCACCGACGCTCAGTCGCAGCAGTGTGTACCATCTACATGGTGCCCTGCAGAAATTCACCAAAGATCCTCAGGCAGCACCTTCCGAACCCACGACCCACTTCCATCCAGAAGGACAAGGGGCAGCAGGTACATGGGAACACCGCCCCCTGCACATTCCCCTCCGAGCCCCCCACCATCCCGATTTGGGAATATATCGCCGTTCCTTCAGTGTCGCTGGGTCAGAATCCTGGAATTCCCTCCCTAAGGGACATTGTGGGTCAACCCACAGCACATGGACTGCAGCGGTTCAAGAAGGCAGGTCCCCCTCACCTTCTCAAGGGGGCAACTAGGGACGGGGCAATAAACGCTGGGACCAGCCAGATACACACATCCCGTGAACAATAAAAAGAATTCTTGTATGTACAGAGCTAGAATACAGTGCATGGGTGAGGTGCTGGAAGACTGGATGATGGCTAACATGGTGTCACTATTTTAGAAAGGTGGTAAGGAAAAGCCAGGGAACTGTAGACCTGACATTGGTGGGTAAATAGTTGGAGGGAATCCCGAGGGCCAGCATTTGGGAAGGCAAGGACTGATTAGGGATAGTCAACACGGCTTTGTGTGTGGGAAGTTGAGTCTCACTAACTTGACTGAGTTTTTTGAAGAAGTAACGAAGAGGATTGATGAGGGCTGAGCGGTAGATGTGATCTACATGCAGTTTATTAAAGCCTTTGACAAGGTTCCTCATGGTAGACCGAACAGTAAAGTTAGATCGCATGGGATTCAGGATGAGCTTGCAAACTGGATACAAAATTGGCTTACCGGCAGGAGACAGATAGTAATGGTGGATGAACAAAAACAAAGTTGCTGGAAAAGCTCAGCAGGTCTGGCAGGTTCTGTGAAGGAAAAACAAATCAGAGTTAACGTTTCGGGTCCGGTGACCCTTCCTGAGGTTCTGAGGTACGATCACCGGACCCGAAACTTTAACTCCGCTTTTTTCCTTCACAGATGCTCCCAGACCTGCTGAGCTTTTCCAGCAACTTCTGATTTTGTTCCTGATTTACAGCATCCGCAGTTCTTTCGGGTTTTTATTTAGTGATAGTGGAGGGTTGTTTTTCAGACTGGAGGCCTGTGACCAGCGGTGTGCCACAGGGATCGGTGCTGGGTCCACTGCTTTTTGTCATTTGTATAAATAATTTGGATGAGAATATAGAAGGCGTGGTTAATAAGTTTGCAGATGACTCCCAGATTGGTGGTACAGTGGACAGTGAAGAAGGTTACTTAAGATTACAAGAAGATCTTGATCAATTGGGTCAATGGGCTGAGGAGTGGCAGATGGAGTTTAATTTGGATAAATGTACTACATTTTGGTAAAACAAACAAGGGCAGGAGCCAAAACAGAAGTTGCTGGAAAAGCTCAGCAGGTCTGGCAGTATCTGTGAGGGAGAAAACAAGAGTTAACGTTTCGGGTCCGGTGACCCTCCCTCAGAACTCAAGGGCAGGACTTACACAATTAAAACTAGGGCCATTGTTAGTGTTGTAGAACAGAGAGAGCGAGGGGTTCAGGTACATAATTCTTTGAAGTTTGTGCCACAGGTAGGCAGGGTGGTGAAGAAGGGGTTTAGCACGCTTACCTTCATTGCTCAGACCTTTGAGTATGAGAGTTGGGAACGTCATGTTGAGGTTGTACAGAACATTGGTGAGGCCTCTTCTGGAATACTGTGTCCGGTTCTGGTCGTGTTATAGGAAGGATATCATTAAACTGGAAGGTTCAGAAGAGATTTACCAGGATGTTGCCAGGAATGGAGGGTTTGAGCTATAGGGAGAGGCCGGATAGGCTGGGACTTTTTTCAATGGAGTGTCAGGTGACCTTACAGAGGTTTATAAAATCATGAGGGGCATGGATAGGGTGAATAGCCAAGGTCTTTCCCCCAGGGTAGGGGGGAGTCCAAAACTAGAGGGGCATAGGTTTAAGGTGAGAGGGGAAAGATTTAAAAGGGACCTGAGGGGTAACTTTTTCACACAGAGGGTGGTGTGTGTATGGAGCGAGCTGCCAGAGGAAGTGGTGGAGGCTGGTACAATTACAACATTTAAAAGGCATCTGGATGGGTACATGAATAAGAAGGGTTTAGAGGGATATGGGCCAAACGCTGGCAAATGGGACTAGATTAATTTAGGATACCTGGTCAGCATAGGTCGAAGGGTCTGTTTCCATGCTGTATATCTCTATGACTCCAAATATGAGCCACAAGTCTCTTTACCGAGAGCAGCAGTGAACCATGAGGGTCCTGGGGGGTCCTGGGTGATGTCCTCACAACAACACTGAGCCAAGAGGCAGCAGGTAGCTCAGTTCCCAGCACAGACAGCAGGGGGAGCTCACTCCACAGCAAGCTCTTCCCATCCCCTCAACCCCACTGGATCCACATAGGGACCATTTAACATAGGGGCTGGGGTGGGGGGAGGTGTAGGGGCTGCAGGGGGGTGTAGGGGCTGCGGGGTGGTATAAGGGGCTGGGGGCGTTACAGAGATAGGGAGTGGGTGTAGGGGAT